CGACGCAATTTTAAAAGCTCGCTTAAATGCCAGTGTTTTGACCGTCGAGCACCACAACCACCCATCTTTCTATGATCTATTTGAGGCTATTCACTTGCTCAGCCACTGAGTTCATGACAAATGCTATTTCCTGGACTTGCTGTTGGAATAGGACACGAACGGGACAAGAAACAGTTGCCGGCGAGAGAGATGCTTCAAAACTCTCCCCAACCGTACTCCAACTAATTACTACGCTTCCGTATTAGCTGTCGGCCCCGATTTACTTGACGAACGAAGCATATCTAGCCTCTGTAAAATGCCTGTAAAGACGACACACTTTCTCGGTCGTATGATTATATAAGTTGCTGTACAAGAGGCTTCTCTGTACCTCCTGGCTCCTCTCTCATTCCCCCTGTTTGAGGCAGTTTGAAGGCTAAGAATGGCGCAGTGAACTTCAACTTCTGCTTAACCAACCGGTCGAACTCCACAAGTATGTTATGTCTTCTGCCAAATCTAGTCACCTTCGGTTTCGGTCGGGCTGCTTGCATTTTACCATTAAGTGAAATCAAACGGCAGGCGAGAATCCACCTCAGCATTATAGGGTTATTGTGTGCGGGATTCTTGGTCTGCAGTCTTGAAGGACTCGCATTCAAACTGATTTGTGTGTGTGCCAATTGCGCGTGGGAACTCCGAACAAAATTGTTAGGAAAACGAATACACTTAAACATCTTCGAGGTGCATAGTTTGCAGGCCAACAGTATCGAGGACGCTGGCTGCTGTATGTTGTGATGAATTTCCCCAAACTCCTTATGTTCACCTGTCTTCGCCTTCGATGTCACTGGGGTTATTTTTTGTATTTCTTCTGCCCTCTTTCAGGTGGTGCTTATGAAGATTGTTCACTTGCTGCGTACTCTAATGCTCGTGCCAGCCGGCTACCTCTTATCCAACGAGATGGTCTTTGAGATTCTCCAAAATTGCCTGCGAATCTGCTTGGAGACCAAGCTCTCCGAACTGCTGAGGCGTACGGCTGAACAATTTCTATGCTCCATCGTGCAGCTGTTTTTCAGTCGCCTACCCGCACTCATTGCCGCCGAGGCCTTGCTTGAGCAGCCTGAAGTGGTGAGTTCTTACATTTCTAGTTCCACAATACACGCTACTATTTTCATTTCAGTAACGAAGTAACGTACATATTAATCTAACGCAAAGGGCTGGCTTACCTGGCCGGGTCAGTAAGGAAGATACTCGTGTTGTTTTCCTCTGGAACACCAACACAGAGACCCTGTAGGCAGTCGCATAGTTACAGGCAATGGTACATAAAGAATGCCGACAAAGGAAATAGAAACCAGAATAGTCATTTACGGTTTTTCCACCGTCGAACTTTAGGTTTGCATAACTCAGGGTTAGAACCCGAACGTTTTGCTCATGGGTTTTTAAAGTCACGAGCTCGCTATCCCGTGGATTACGATCGGATGTATTAGCTAACGTGAAGCGTGCCTTTACAGCCATCGGTAAAACCGTTCGTTTTAAGCTATGCAGAAAGAAATGACCCGAATATTTTCTAGCGGTAGAAATCCTACAAAATGACGTTCGACCTACTCGATTATAGGGGACCCTACTTTACTTTGCTTTATTAATAATTTTTCTGTTTTTGTTCCGCAACGCCACTAGCCCTCCGCCAGCAGGACCCCACGAATGTTCCCAAAGAATCACTTCGCTGTTGACGAGCGCAAGGACCCGGAGACTGCCACTTATCAGGGTGATGGACAACCAGGTTCAGTCAGCGCGCCATTTTTATGGTTTTTCAACCAACTCCTCTCCCTTCTCATCTGCCCCTCTTCCTCTCCATTGTCTTCCTGCCTTTTCCCAAACATTTTACTTGGTAAAGTCAGTAGTTATAGGGAAAGAATATTGTTCAAAAGTCGGCATCCAATCGTGATTGAAATGTCTTGCGATTAAACTGCACGATAATCGAACTTAAGCAGTTTGTTCGACCCGAGAACACAGTTTTGAAATTCGGTTGTAACTGGCAATCCGTGGGGCTCACAGCCTTCTCATCTCTTGACTATACATGCTCTTACACATCTTCCTCTTGACTGCGAAAACCGTGTTATTTTAATGCGACAACTGGCCGAATATTTGGCAATTGTTATACTCTCGGCGCAATTCAGTAGGACACCGAATTTCAATAATACTTTAGGAGTTAGTCTGTAAATACCTTTAGACTAATTACAATAGTAGAACAACTCCCAATGGTGAACATAATCAAACAAGTGTTTAGATGGGCGTGTTGTAGCGAGGGCTGCCACCTTGCCACTGTCTAATTACGCTCTTTAGAATCCCCAAGGGGTTACACAACAAGGACGTAAATATGGAAGCCACCCGGAGGAGAGTTTATTGCGTACAAAATTCGGAGTGGCTGT